GGGGGGGGGGGGGACACAAACTGATGTGGCAATCAATATCTGAAGAGTGGTTTGTGAAATCATGCTACTACAGGCTTTCTGCTTAAGTACAGACAGTCAAAAAGCCTGAGGCTGAATTGTTGCAGGTTAGCCTAAGATGCAGAAATTAAATTGAATCGGAAGTAAACAGACATTTACCTTCGATTCAAGAAATGCAGCCACATGCCTGCAGTGGCTCAAGCCAGAAGCCAGGGGGCACTAGAGCATGTCTCTCTGGCATATAGCCAGCATGAGCTATGTGTTCGCTTCCTGTTCCTGCTGCCCCCCTGAGGTCTCTGGGATTTGCAGTCCAGATTCACAGCAGCAGGACTCTGCAGGGTTGCTTATCACTTCCTCTTCTTACTTCCAGGTGCCTCTGGAATTTGTAGTCCACAGTAGCAGCCAGCAGTATGTTTGAGTTGGGAAAGGGGTCCTCACCCACCCTCTGTTGACCTCCCACTTCCCACCTTGGAGACTGGGCTGCATCCCCAGGCGGGCTTGCCCTGCCCCCTGTCACCCTTGTCAGCCAGCCCTCACTGCTCTGGCTAGGGAGCAGAGGGGTGGGGCCAGCCCTGCTCTCTGGAGCAGACAGCACAGCACAGCCCAGGGCTGCAAAGTATGCTGGGATGCTGAGGGACTCTGATTTAACTTGAATCAGGAAGGGATCTGGGACAGAAGTTTCATAAACTGGTTTGACCCAAATCCGTTCCATCTGATCCTACATTCAACCAGGTTATTTTAAAACAGTTTTAGCCATTTTGAAACTGTCTTATGTGCACTGAGCTTCCATTTTGTTACAGGTTTAAACCAGTTTCTGATTATTTAAACCCATTTATGTATAACTATATTCCTAGCCTCCGTGAATTGTATCTTGTTGTCAGTTTCCCATGCCAGAGCTCTTTCTTGTTTCTGTTTCAGAGTTGTTCCTGCCAGTGTTTCTTGCTTGGGGTCTAAAGTGAACACCGTCTCTTTCTTTGTGACTCATTTTTCAGTTTGAAGCTAACCACTTGCCATTTAACAGGTTTTCTACAGACTTCCTTCTCATTTGAAGTGAAAGAGAGTGGTAACATCTGCATAATTGCTGATCTGTTTGTAAACTTCTCAGTGGAATACCCTGCCAAGGATCACCAAAAGGTAAGAGCAGTAGCTCAAATTCCATGTGGCACTTTTACAGGGGTGAGGAGTCTCTAGTGAAAGTCTGAACAATCATTAAGCCAAGAAAACCTCGTGTGCAAACAGCCCTCTTTAAAATCATGGTGCTTTTTTAAATTAATCAGGAAATAGATGTCAGAAGACTGACACACAAAGGAATATACCTAAAGTAGTCCATTACTGCCTGTGGAGGCTTAAGTAATCCAGGCGCTTCTATCAGCAATGAAAGGTACCTTCATTGTAGTGAGCACAGGACTTGGTCCTTGCAGCCTGCCTATGTGGCACCAAGTCCCAGTCTTACTGCTGGCTCTGACAAGACTCCTTACGTACGCTAGTTGCAAGTCTGAAGCCTTGACTTTGTATGCTGCAGGGCCTCTGCTTCATGATGCTGAATAGTTAGGTTTCACCTAAATGACCTCTGGAAAAGAATTGCTTTGAACGTTAGGTCTGTGCATGGTCTCCTAATATACTGTTTTCCCACTTGGAAATCTCTGCCTTGATTGCTGTGTCTTCTGGATGGGCTTTTCTGGATAGCTTGTAATCTCACTGTAGCTGAGAGTTGTGGGGGGGTTTAAGTCTGCAGGATTTCCAAATCTCACGTTATGCTCTGCTAGTTAGAAAAACATCATTCACTACTTTTCTATTAGTGCACTTGTAGGTTACACTTGTTACATTAGGTCACAAGTAGCCTAGGTGGTCTCATATCATACAGACGTTATATGCTGTCAGGTATGCTATTCCTATAGTTGGCTGCATGCTTGTCACTCCAAATCAGGTTAAGTACATTTAGGTCTTCAGTTGAGTTTGACGGTTCTCCTTGTGTCTGTGCTTGTGAGTAACTAATTGCTTATACCAAAGATGTCAAGTGTTAGGCCCATGGAGCCTCTTTATCTGGCTCAGAAGTTGGGGAGGGTGTGGCCTGTTGCAAAATCCAGGACACTTACCCTGCTGGGCATGGCCATTGACCGTGAGCTTGGCTCCTTCCGGACTTGCTCCGCCATGCTGCCGCTGCAGCAGGCCTCCAGCCTCAGGCCAGATCCAGCCCAGAAAGAGCCCCATGGTCTATCTGGTTCTAGCCTGGGCCCCAAGTGAGTTTGACACCCCTGAATTTTTTCAGTTGTCTGCAACAGACTTGTGATTATTCTCTTGAAGTGTACTTGTCCTTGCTTTACCTTGGGTAAGGACTAGGGTTTGTTATCACACCTGCTGCTTTTTCTGGTTAAAAAAGAAAAACAGTGTGGGCAGCCAGAGGTTCTGGTGTTTCATGTCCACCTCACTTGTGTTTGGAATGACATTTTTAAGTCTAATGGCAAGGGCATTTTGGGGGTGATCTTTTTATTGGACTGACTACATGGTTGGGATAAAGTTAGACAAGCTTTTGAATGCAAGGTGTTCTTCATCAGGCCTGAGGAGGGGAGCATGCCCATCCCTGATTAAGAATAGGGGGTAGAGCTGTGATATTGGAGAAGAGAGAAATTCCCAGGGGTATTGGTTAGCAAAAGAAAAGCCTGTATTGCAGGGGTATGCAAAATACAGTCCACGGGCCAGATCTGACCCACCAAGCACTTTCATCCACCCTGCAGCACCCACCAACAAATTGTGCCCCACACAGCCCTTCCACCCACAGTGGTGAGAGCACAGCATCCACATGTACACGCTCCCCCAAAACACCCTATTGCACCTCAATCCCACCCTCATGGGCAGAAGGGCATGGTCC